CATTAGCCACGATTGCGTTTCACTTCAAGTGGTTCTACTATGAGTCGTTTTTTATTATTTCTTTTAATTTAAACTGAAGGATATCACCGGTATTACTGTAGATCCCTTAGTCTGATGTTATGGAATATACAACTATGGCTGCAGTCTTCTCAGGCCTTTTGAGCTACAGAGCTTTTCTTTAGGGTAGGACAGACGACACGCGGTGTTTTTTATTTACTAAAATTAATTATGACAGTATATTGAGCTATATCTGTTGTACAGTAGTTCATAAATTCGGTTTTTGAATGAAACTGAAATATGATAAGTGCACTACGTATTTTTTTAAAAATTGTATGAGGATGAAATCCCTTACTATATTATTTGTTGACCATCTACTTGGTCTTATAAAAGGATTAAAACTTGAATGGAACAGCTGTTAGTGTCTCACATTAATTTCCATAAGATTTTCTGTATCTTTCAATATGGTATCTCTGTGATTTTATCAGGAAAGTTCTACTTTTCTTTAATTGAGGAATAAAATCTTCCACTTGTTCGCTGAAGTTAAAATATTTGAAAATCTGCTTCAGTTAATTTGTTGGTTTACCAATTTCTTGTGTCATCACATGGACTCCAATTTTTCCTAACTCATTGTTCAATTTCTTAATTTGGGATAGAAACTTATAATAAGAGAGAAGTTACATTTAATGTTCGATATTGTTCACTAGTTCACTAGTCTTACAAGAGGATCAATACTAAACTAAATTACCACAGAAATGTCTTTATTTGAATTTCTGCTCATTCTCCTCAAACAAATTGATTCAATTACCGTTTATTCATGATTACTTTGATAATCAACAGTCTTATTCACTTACGAATTATTACAGGTAGATGAACAAACCAATGAAAACCAGAAAGTAGAGAAAAAGTCTCCGGTTAACTTCAGGAAGAAGGTTACTTTTGTTAAGTAGCTAATTCGTACACATTTGTATAAGTAGTTATGCACAACCGCACGAATATAAATACCAACATATATAGATTAGATGGATAAGCAAACTAAGGGACATAGGAAATGGGAAATGTGAAGATAAGTTGGCAATAATAACAATGATTTTATCAGTTCCTAATTCTTAAAGGTAATTAAATTATTCACTCAAGTGTCGTTGAATAAGGTAATGATTGGTTAGAGAAGACGGGAGGGGGAAGGGAAACAGGAATATGATGAACCAACCTAGAAGGAAAATCTTGGAGAGTCTGATGATGAAAATAAATAGAAGAAAAGAAAAAAACACAATTCACCTAACACTTTCTGTGTTTTCTTTTGCCTTTCACCTAATGGTTTTAATGCAAATGGTGGGTGCCGAAATTCAAGTATTTGATTCTCACCTGTAGATAGTAGAATGAAAAGTAATTATGAGCACAGTTACCAATTACATAGAACCTATCGTTAAGGTAAAAGATACCTGTCTCACGGTGTTTCAGTCTTGTCTAATGGATGTTTATACTCATTATTTTCTAAAAATTCTGATGGCATAACGGATACGCATACAGTGATAGCATACCTGTTAAGTTTACAGTATAACTGAATCTCTGGATGTCTCTCATAATCTAAATTGGTATATTAATAGTATGTGTCATTGATCTCAGCGTGGTTCTTTCAGTCTCCCAAATACGCTATCCCCAGCAAGACCAAACGTTCAGCAACTTATTGCGCACTATGACTCAGTGATTACCAGCGTATGGCTTGCACAATTGGTGTGCATCAAGCAAAATGAAACTTACTATTTCTCTCCAGATGCTTGATAGCAATTATTGTCAACTTATAAGATAATGTATTCAAACGGTTTTGATAATTTCACAGAAAAAAAGGTCGTTGAGCTGCACAACGTGATCAGTAGTAACATTAAGCAGTATTCACTTAGACCACTTAGTCTGACGATAAATTTATCATAGTCAAGTGTTGTATACCTCATTCACTTTTTAGGTGCCTGAGAAAGAGTTCAGTGGACAGGCAGGTTAAATGAAAGCATAAACTGAGTTCTGGAAAAAACCAGTTAAAGCATAAAGTCAGAACTATTCTTGACTTGAAACAACCAAATAAATGTTATAATAATAATAATAAAGTAAATGCAAACAATTAGCTCTCAACAGTATTTTCCATTTAAGTATAATGATGCTATTCAGTATAGATGGTGAAAATAATCCTATTAGATAGCTTTTCTGAAATGTTGATGTTAGAAAGCAGTAATAACTGATCTTGTGATAAAAGCTAAAGGATTTTTACTGTATTAGTATCGCGATTAATGGAAGAAGTTGTCATAGAAACGCACTCTGATTTAAACTGCTGGTTTTCATTTCCATTGTGACTATCAACAATTAAAGAGACTCAATAAATATTCTATATTACTGCTGTTGATCGTCATCCAGTATCTTAGGGATGCAGTACAATAAAAATATGATGTTATAATAATATTGAATAACACTTGTGCATCAAAATGTTCGTTATAGTTTGTCTGTCTTGAAATAACTTTCGGCTTTTTTGAAGCACACCGAGAGACTAGTTTCACAGGAAATACTATTGAGAAAAAAATAATAAAATTAAATGATTATTTCTTCGTTTTAGCGGATTTAAAGCTTTTGAATACGACTGGAACCTTTTAGGATCCATGACTAAGTGTGTCAGCGTAAAGCTATCAAACAGTTAAGACTAAGATACCCTAGAAAGTTCGATAAATAATAAAAATCTGATGCTCACTAGTGACTGGCCCTATTCAGGTAGTTAACCTGGGTTTCTAGTGGGAAGCCGTGACCAGTAGGGTACAGCAGGTTGAAGATGAGGCAGTAACTCATCTAAGAAGACATTGCGAAATGGTCGCGCTATGTCGTGAATTGGCAGAAGTTAGAATTCAAGGACCATTGGATCGGGTCCCAGTGGCTCAATGGTCTACGAGCTTGCCTTGTAACCAGAAGGTCCTGGGTTCGAATCCCGGTGGGTGCGTACTGATGAAGAGTCTCAAACGAGGACGAAACAGCTGTCTATTACTCCCAGGTCTTCCAGTGGTTCTCTAACTGATGTCAGCTCATGATGAAACCCTCCATGCAATTAAAAATAAGAAAGCCTAGAAAGTAAGCTGTCTTGAGAATTACTAATCATATAAACTGACTTGCGAATTTCACTATCCGTTTCAAAATAAAAAGCAACTGTTTCATCCATTCTATGTTCAGTTCTACTGCGATGTTTACAAGAAACCTGATTAAACACAACAAAAATGTTTGAGAAGAATAAATGTGAATGGTTGATATGTAATGAATGCCAAGTTATGAGGTCAGTATTTACATCTATAAAACTAAAGTGCTTCGCACTTATATAAATTCAACTCAAAAACCCATTTTGGTGACTTTTATGCAATAGAAACTTCTGAATTCGGTTGAATACAGTAATAACCTGAAAACGTTTGACGTATAAATCAGGAATATTAATTGGAGAAGTGAAGGAAGCTTGTAACTTTGGTTAAACTGACGTTGCTAACTCTAAAATCACTTAATTTTAGATGAGTTAAAATGTTTCCAAATCATGAGAATTTTAACGCGGACAAATAAAAATCAAGGCCAACCTAAGGGAGATTTTTCAAAAGGAACTTCCAAATAAATGTAAAAATTTAAAACTATTGGCGAAAACACTATACACTAGCAGCTGTGGAATCCTATTCCCTACTAAGATGAAACTGAATGGCTACTTCAAGTTTCAGAAGGACAGAAAGAAGGGCTTCTATCGGATTTTCTGAACATATTCCAAGAAATTTGTAAAAAAAATTATATTTGTAATATCTCAGCGATATTGAAATAAGTAATTCCAACGTTTCGTTCGGCAATCTGGTCCGAACTTCTTCAGGGAAATTAATCAAAATTAAACAGAGTGTGCATGCGTGTGTGTGTGTAAACAGTTGTAAAGTGTTTAACAAAGGTAGACCAATATTTGTAAGTCCGAGGTCAAATTTTGATCACATCTCATACAATTTTGTTTATTATACTTGTTAATACTTGTGTTTATGAATCATGATTGGACAAGGTTTTTAAAAAGATGTGCCTTTTATATTTAAAAACCTCTGTTATGTTAATTTTGATTAATTTCCCTGAAGAAGTTCGGACCAGATTGCCGAACGAAACGTTGGAATTACTTATTTCAATATCGCTGAGATATTACAAATATAATTTTTTACAAATGTCTACTTCTCACTCGGCGCCCAAATATTTTAGAACTATTCGGTGAACTCTTGACGACAGTTCATTTGAATATTCCAAGAAACTTGTGCTTAAAAGGAAACAAATATTCTCAGAGCGCGTTTACCAGACATACCGTTGATACTGGTTATCTCGTAGATATTTCTAAGTCCTTCAAAATATTAAAAAGACAAGGGACAGCAAATTTACTACGATTTGTCGAAGCGATCGCAATCAAACGATTCAAACCAGACTTATGCATACAGAAAGAGAGTGTGGTTAATCTCTCACTCTCTTGGTAACTGAGTTTTAATTTTGATTACATTAATTAGTCATCTAATTCAGTGATCTCAACTCACTGAGCACATTTCAGTCTTACAAACTGTAACCGCTTTTTTGTTTTTTGAGTTGCTATGTGCGCCTATGTGAGCTAACACTGTTTGTTAATCTTTTCTGTTTTATGTCTCACCGCTCCCCCCTTAAGCCTACTTCGAAAGCGCATAAATTGATGATGAAAACTTAAACTAAAAATTGTAATGCTTACATTTTGGATGTGTCAGTTTTATAGCATTTCTTTTCTACTATCACTTAAACATTAAAGTATGTTATTATCACCTTTATAACCATTGTAATTTCGGGTAGTCTGCGGCTAACGAGAACCTGTGAAATAGAATGACATCATTTTATACTGCAAATCTGGTCTTTCTTTCTCTATCGAAATGTTTTGGAATAGTCTGATTTTTTAAAATTCTTTTTTAGTCTATTTTGTAACATTTTCTTGCTTTGTTTGATTGTTTATTCAGAGTCGAAATCAGTAATCACCGTAATGAATATAAAATAGATGATCAAATAAACAGTGATTGTTTAAATGATGCAACAGTATCGACGACAACAACCTCAACTGTTGATGATACACCACGTTCCGCTTATATTCATGATGTACGCTTTCAAGTTAATCAGTTGAACGAAGATGAAAATAAAATATTAGAGCGTTATAATTGTTTATTAATTCAATTACGCAAAGAAAAGAGACGTTTACACTTTTTAAATAATCGTTATCAAAGATTATCTAAACAACAAAATGTTTTGGAGAACTTTTCAAATAGTTTATTATGGAATGTAACAAATGGGATAAAGGATTGTGATACTGATAACGAAGATTGTGTTTACGATGATGATAATAATCAAGCGACTTACAACAGTACCAATACTGCTACGAGTAATAATGTTTTCAGTAGTATGAATGGAGGACACATGTATAAGAAACTTGATTTTTTACTTCCACGACAACAAAAGTCTTATCACCAGCAACAAGAAAACCTGGTCAGTTCCAATAAATCACATCGTGCACGTTCTTTAACACGTGTAAGAAGTATAATGAAAGACAGTAAAGATAAAAATGTAAGTTATTCAGAGGTGATAAGATTTTGACAGTGATTTGATTAGTTTTAAACTCTTCGCTTATACGTACGCCAGGAACCCACTCGTTAAAACTTCATTTATTTGATCATATAGTATCAGTGGAACAAATTTAAACAAGTTAATTTCGATGCATTCCAAAGCGACTTGGAGAACATCGCTTAGCCCACTGAACGCGCCGCAGTTTTGATGGGTAGTTTACAGTTTACTTGTACCTGAGAAAGTAGGCCAGAGTACAAAAGTAAACTGAGGGTATATATTTTCTCTGAGCCATTTCAAATTAAGAACAATTAAAAAACAGTTTTTAACCTAATTTAGGACTTCTCAGCATTGTGCACGAACGATCCCAAGAAGGATTGAGTGTAAGACTATGAGATGGGGTGGTTTACTTTTTTATCAGTTGACGAGTATCAGGTAGCACATGAGATTTAAATGTTATCATTAATCATTTTAGCACCATTATTGCTCAGTTGTATTGCCAATTCAATTGTTTTAAACCCAAACTGATGACCCATTAATCTGATGAATTTCATTTGAACTATTGAACATCCTTTCCAGAGCCAGTGATATAGTTATTGAGAATCTACGTCAATAATGAAAATGTAGTGTCAGTTGAATCACCAGTGTATGATTCTAGCGTCAGAAAGATTGCACTAAGCATTCGAGGCGTATTTCCATAACGCTAGGTTTTTTAGAGTGGTTGATAGATTGTAGAGAACCCATAAAGGTAATCTGTCATCATTCTTCAACTACTAACTGTCTTGGATATAGTTGATCATGAATATTACTGACAGACGACATCATCTGAAAGTGGCTGTTATTCAGATCAAAGTAACCTGAACACTAGGTGGATCTAATATTGCTTATTTCATCGATATCAGAAATTATGTAGCTTATAAAAACAAAATGCACAGTTATCTTAATTATGAGAGATTATTGTTTTTCTCCGAGCTTTGACATTTGTTCACAAGACTCAAAGTTGCAGGCTGAAGCACAATGACATACTATAAAGAAGAGTCACCCACGCGTAGCACAGTAAGATGAAGGGTGGACTGGTTAAAATTGGGCATGAACAAGAAAAAGAATACCCAAATAATTTCACTTGCACATATGTCTCATTTATTAAAGCTGAAGATGGCACCAAACCTGGTCATAAAACATCAATGTCCAAACAAAGAGCTGGTAGAACACCAAGCAGTTGCTATTCCCATCCTGAGCTAATGGTCTTCTCTATTATTATGAAAACAACTTGTTTTTTTGATTGACTGTTCATATATCCTACATGAGATTTCTTCAAAGCAAATTTTAATACACTCTACAGCTTACGGTACTTGATTTGATGTCAGAGAAGAGACTATCTAAGTTGACGACTCAAGTTGAATACTGTCACTAAAGCACCTTTAACACCATGCATACATTTCTGTTCAACGTCAGTCGGTGACCTTTAGCATGTCAGCGGTACAATAGTTTCCTACCGTACACTGAGTATAAACTTTTGCAATAAAAAACAAATTAAGGTTTAACAGCAACATACAGATATTTTTTGTAAAGTACTTTTATGGAAAGATCATAGCACATATGATTTATCAGCCTAATAAATAAAGCTATAATGCATAATGTGATCGTTTTCGAATTTAAAATCCCAATGTATATTACTAACAGAATCGCGTTTACACAAAAGACTGTGTAACATTGCGTCAGTTTATCGCACGCTCACACTTTACCTCTTTTATTTGTCCAGCTCAATCCTTCCATGGTTATTCAAAATGAAGCATTACAACTTAATCAAGTTGAAGCAATGCGCAATTTTTTCACACTCTACACAGTTCAGTCACAACAACTAGATGAAGATGCTATAAGTGTCGGTGAAGAATTAGAACAATGTAAAATTACTATTAACCAGTTAACAGAACAGCTTGATGAAATTGAATTATGCCGAAGTCAATTAGTGTCAAAGTAAGTTACTGGTAATGCTTATGGGTTTAAGTGAGAGAGTGTCTAAGTGACAGCTGAGAGTTAAATATTTCGACTATAATTAGAAATTAATATTTCCTGCTATGCTTTTAATAATTCGGGGTGTTTAGGTATCCATTTGCTCATTATATGATTATATTGTGTGTTAATGTGTATGAATTGGCATTTTAGGGTAAATGAGTGCACAGAACCTAAAGTATGCTTCTCTGGAAAGTCTTTTGAACATCTGAGAGTGTGTTAAGGCTGTTTAATTAATCACATAAAAGCCGCATTATTCAATACTGTTCAAGTAATCTTCGTTTCATTATGAAAGCTAAGGGAAATATCTACTGTACATAATTCTTCAGTTTGAGGATCACTTATCAGAGTAAATTGATTTCTACAGAAGCTTGAAGTTTCCTGTTATTGATAAGCTTTTGCACGACAATCAGAAGTAATATTCTAATTGAGAAAGATAGTACATTTACACAATACATTACGAGTAATCAGGAGATACCTTGTCATCAGACACAGTTAAATACATATATATATATATGTTGCTGAAAAATACACTCCTCAAAACGCAATTTTTCCCCTTGATTTCCTCGGAAAATTCAAAGTAATCAGATATCAACATATGATCTGGGTGATGTTACGAGGTTTATATTACTGATCACTATGAGTAGTTAGAAATCAGAACGAAGTGTTGTAAACAGCCACATCATTCAAAATAGCATCGGAATTTGATCTGAGTGAGAAGAGTTAAGTATTCAGTGACTTCTACTACACTAATTCTCCCTTAGTGACTCAACATTCAAATTAAGTGTTATTTAAATGTTACATTTATTTTAATTCGTAAATTAGCAATCTGATGTTTTTGGTCTACATCTTAACCTTTTATTGCTGAATATTCACAGTGAAATTCCGTGGAAGTTGGTTCTTCTAAGAATACGTTTTAAGATAAATTCGAAGTGTACAAAATAAAATGCTTCATTGTTGAACTATGGAGATATATATATATATATCATGGAAAGCACTTTACTGAGCAGTCATAAGCCCTATTAAAATTCTTTGAAAATTTTACGATATTGAAATGGTTGTAGGAAACATTTTTCACGTATCACATTTTCGTGCAAGTGAATTTTCTCTACTCCTGACTAGTTTGCTAAACACATATTTCAAATTAAGCAATCCAAAAAGTGTCAATTCCAGCGAGTAGTGTTGGTGAACAAGAAGACTCACAATCAATGAATTAAGGACCTGTGTAATTTGGTCGACTGCGTTCATATAAGTGCTAACCCATGTCATTCAACTACTAAAAATGCAGAGGTTTAGAAATAGCCTCTTGGGATTACGTAATATACTTTAAGTTATCGAACAGTATTTCAACTCTCACATAAAGTTTGTGATGTATTCGTGGTATCCGAACTTTAAGGGTCTGGAACTTTAACAGTCAACAGTACCCCCAATTCCTTTTAGCTTCAGACTATTTGGATTTATAAGACTTCAAATTTACAAGCGCAGCTGACTGTGCGAATAATCTGAATATGCTTTACTACAAGAGACAATTAAATGCCCACTTTTCCTTTTTTTAAATTCTTACTTAGGTCAAAAATTAGGACTCTTTATTTATCTCTTATGGTATTATCGCGTTTCTATTTCTTTTAAAACATACATCATGTTAGAGAACTTCATGTTCTTCTGGAATCGCGATCGTCTGTTAATCCAGATTTGGAAATTACATACACTGTGGATCATGTTTCATGGACACCTTGTTATGATATAAGACTATCCAGTGCTACGGCCACACTAAAAGTGAGTTTGAACCATTTTAGTAGTGACAGCTTCTAATAACAAAGATCAATATTCTTCACTTCTTTATGGATTTTATTGAGGTTTTATTTTTAAAAGGTAATCCAACTGTGTTTAGCAACTTTTAAAGTATGAAGTTCGATCATAAGACTATACATTAAGCCTATATTACTAAACTCTTTTTGACTGAATAGTAGAAGCAATATAACTTAAAGTTCCATGAAGTAATTCATTATATATATAGGTCAGAATTTCAATTGATTTAATTACTGAGATGGTGGTCGGATATTCCAAGAAAAGTTCAAGTTTTCGAGCGAAAGAAACCAGTAATGAAATAAAGGTTACAGATTCATCAAGTGACTATTTGAGTATAATTATTTTATTGTATGAGTCATACATTTAACTTAAATGCAAAGTTTCAGAGGAAAAAGTAAAGGGAAAGAATACCGAACAAGGCATTGAATGGAAATATAAGACATAGAATAGTTTTTTCCTTGTTGTTGTTGTTGTTTACCTTTGAGGCGAACGAATCTGAACACTCTACTCCTTTTTTCATCCTTTATAAACATTAAGGTTGATTGCCGTGAAACTGGCAATAATAGTTATTCCCATAAGAATAATTGGATTCAGTCATGTGTAGGCATATAAACACGAAAGTGAGTTGTTTGAATAAAGGAGGTGATAACAACGACACTGATGATGAGAAATATCAAAAAACTAGCCCTTACTAGTATGAAAAGTGAGAATATTTATTTTATAAGAAAAAGAGGTTGACTACTGTACAGCTGTGTAAGCTTATACCATTTTTTTAAATTAACCATAATCGATAGACTGATGACTTCGTCTAAGATGAACTGAAGAAATGAAATAATGAAAATAAATGGTAAGTGAGTAAACATTTAGACAACAGCTAAAGCAACTTTATCCAACCTGAAGTGATGTTTTTTAAATTAATTTTGTGTTTAAATAAATGAAAAAGACGAAAGTCTCCCCAAGGGATTAATTGGGAAGACGATGAGCAAACCATTAGATTGCTGTAAGGAAACACAATCTGCTCTTATAATTTAGCTGTGAAATATAAGTGAAGTAGAAGAAGAGGATGATTTGACAAAGAGAAGATAATAGAGATAACTGATGCTATTAAAAATAACATCATACCACCACCTACTCATAGGTGAGATACAATGATCAGGTTAAAATTTAAATGAAGCTTTCCCAAACTATGATTGTTATTGTCATTTTGTACTAACACATTTTCAAGATTCCTTCTAGCAGTACACGCGCATTAAGTGACTGAAATACCTGCTCATTAGCTTGTGAATAACTTGATTTTAAATAGCATGACGCAGTCTATTGACGAGGAGTCCAAGGGGAGAATAAACACATGTAATTTTCCTGTAAATTTTTCTTAAAAATTATAACAGACATCTGAGTAAAAGGAAAGTTTTAGTCAAAAATCATCCATAAAATAGTCGTGTGAGAATCTTTGCAGAAGCGGCAGTCTCTGTGCTATGAGTTTGATAATCCACCACCTGCTCTATGAGACCCAGGCACCACTGGATAATAACCACTTATCACATAAATGGATGGTAACTAAGTGTTGAGTTAGGTTATTTTCTGTGAATCTGTTAATCTCAATCATATGTCTTAGAAATGACTTAACATCCATTTTGTGTATTTAGTTCTGTGAATAAACCGGTGTTAAATAACACCTCAGTAATCTTTAGTCACCTCCAATGTGGTTATGAATTCATCAGAATTCTATTTGATTATTATCAGTTCAGTGGACGGTCTGTTTTTAAATAACAGATGATGCGTTCCATATTATAACTAGCAACTCGAAGTAATTTGGTGGATAGTGATTAGCAGTGGAATCCAGGACGAGCATTTCGCCTCATTTGGGGCTCATCATCTGGATGTACTTGCACTCTACTACCCAGTAAGTAATGATCGTCCCCCCAAAAAACTTACTCGAACCCAGTACCCAGCTTTTCATTGGCCAAGGAGTCATCCACTAGACCACTTGGGCCACGAGAGCCACCTCTCGAGAAATGGGTGTCAGTTATTATTCATGTCTGAGTTAGTTTTGATTTCGGTGCAATCAGTCAGCGAGAAAATAACAAACTTAATTAAAGGTAATTAAGACTTGTTAAAAGTCACTGACAGTCGCTTGGCATGTAGATTGAAATTAGGCGGGTTTCGGTATTTATCATTATTACTATTGTTTCCTGGGTTCCGAATGAAACCTAGGGCTTCAACAGCACGTCCCCACTTTGTCCTATTCTCTGCAATCTTATTTAACTGTCCCCACGAATGTCCACAAACTGTAATCTCCTCCTCGCACTATCTCCTCCATGTCAACCTCGGACAACACACTCGTCGTTTACCATTCGGGTTCCACTTGGGCGCCTGGCGTGCGATGTCATTCAACGGTCTTCTCACTGTGTCTTCTACCCATTTCCATTTTCTTCTACATCCTTGTTGAGCAGTAGTTTCTTGATTGGTTTATTCCCAGAGTTTCTTGTTGCTGATTCTTGCTGTCGACTTGATATTCAGTATGTAGTGAAGGCAGTTGTTGATAAAAGTTTGCACCTGGCTGTTGGAAATGCTGTTGGTGATGTGCCCACCAAGTTTCAGACCCATATAGAAGAAGCGGCTTAACATTTATGCTGAAAAGCCAAATTCTGTCCTCTGTTATTTGTTTCGTGTGAATAATGATAATAACATTGTAATCGTTTATATAGATTTTATAAATCACTTTCAAAAACAGTCTGACTTTTAATTGTGCATCGTAGAAACAGTTTATTTGAGTAATCTGACTGTAAATAAATAATCAAATTCTACAGTTCACCAGGAGTTCCTGAACATAAGTGCGATACCAAATGACCACTTAACTTTCAGTCTTTTTCAAAACAGTAAGCTTAAAGTTCTGTCTAAAATCGTTTTATGATTTACTCCTAGGTCGCTGGTTGCTTTTTCTCGAAAATTAGAAAAGAATTCCACACCCAAAGTGTGATGAAACGTAGCCTGAGTTCAAACTTTTTCCTTGTTCCAGGAATAATAACACGATTTGTCAGATGATAATTGTTCGGAATAAATGGGTCTTTTAAATGCATATTATTGCCTCCAGCAAAGGGTTTCTAGAATCTTGAATTCTCTGCATTATAAAGATTTAGTCAATTGCTAACTTTTTTTACCCCAAACTGAAGCTGACATTCCATTAATGAATGCATAATGTAGTTATTCAACCTTGAACAAAGGTGGAAATTTTTCCGACTTACCAAAAATTCTTTATCAGCTTCTTTGAATAATTGCAATTTCTGTTCTGTCCCCTTATAGATTATTTACTATGGAATTATTCGACAAAGTACGGGAGAGGATTGGGAACTTGGCAAACTAACACTATCAACTGCTGAACAAGACAATTTCAACAGTATTCCAGAATTAACCTTAGAAAAATTGTCATTTAAAAATGACGAAAGGCAAGTTAGAATACAGGGGTGTTTTCTCTCATGAAAAAGTCAAACTCGCCTGTATATGGTCAGTATTAGGGACCTCTGATGCAGATATCTGTTTGGAATAACGTATCTTCTGTACTTAAGAAAATAGTAAAGGCTTGCAACATTTAATGAATACATAGGAACTGTATGATCTTTGCTATGTAAAATACAGGAACTAAAATTCTTCCTAAGGTATCATGGAATCTAACGAATTCATTTACTTGCTTAGTTTTGAAAGACTGTAAATAACAAGAAGAGTCTCCTTTATAGCCTGATTGTGTAAACTAATAACTGACATTTATAGGTGAAAACCACATACTTCAAGAAATATTGCTTACTATCCAGACTGGGGCGATCTAAACATCGGAAGGCCGTTTCGCTGTTCTGGATTAAAGTTCATCAATGATGTATGCTGAAAACCTCAGATAAGGGAAATGAATCACTTTAAACCACCTGGATTTGCATCTACCTATTTGGGAGAAAGGACAACACAAATAGTCAAATATGTCAGTTGCCAGTCACAAACAAGTAAAACAGCCGACCTCAACCTGGATGGCAAACACTACTATGTCATATGAGTAGTTTCCGACCATTCTTATCAGTAATCAGTACACATCATTATGCTATTTCTCTTGCTTTCTTGATTTCCGTTTATGGTTTCAAGTAGATCACAAATTGTGATGGTTTTCAAAGGAAACTGTGATGAATTCATACCTTGAACCGTGTTATTTGTAGCTGACAAATTTTATGCAAAATACAGCACTGTGAAGACATGGAGAAGTGTGGGCAAGAAGCAGCAGTCAGCTGGACATAGGTGCTTAGATGGACGTCTGAGTCAATAAATATGTATAAAAATGTAAATAAGACATTCATTCTTCGATTGGAAAAATCAAGACTTTTCAGTTCAATTTTTCGCTGATGATTAAATTTTCATGAAACTGAACTACTAGAAATTCGCATCTGCTAACCGTGTTTACAATTTGTGCTGTAATCACTCATGATTATTCCGCTAATGCCAGTTAGATGGGAGGAAACTTCAGAAAAGTTTACCATTACGCTACAGAAAATATCAAAACGCAGTCAATAGCGCATTCAGGACATCTTATCTCGAATAAAGAATTGAAATACTATTTGTATATAGTTGATTGAATGAATGGTTTAGTATTTTCGTAACAGTCCTTGTAATTAGATAAAATTAACCTCCCATCTTTTCCTGTGTGGTACTGCTACAATGAAACCACTTAGTTTTATGAAAGTGACCATGGGAATAACACTAAATTATTTTCTCCTCATTGATTTTCTCTAATTTCACTCACTGTCGTAATATGAGGAGACGATTAATTTTGACGCAATGATTTTCAAGTTTCTGAACAAATAAACCTATTTCTCTTAATACTAAATCTAACTTGTTTGACTTGTAATAACCAGTGTCTCGTGTGCCTTAGTACATCTAAAAGTATGAGAACAAAATTAGTCAAATTCGAAGGATACATTCAAACAACTATACAGAAGGCATTCTTTATGATTTGTTGATTGTCACTAGGTGTGACACGACTTTATTTTGGCTAATAGTCTATGATTAACTTATTTTTCATGCATCAATTCAACTTTTTCAGACACTGTTATCCATCGAAGTTGTCAGTAATCATCCTGCCCTATTGATTTTTATATTACGTCTCGTCAATTACTCGATTAGTTTTTTTTGTGTAATTACAAACATACGAGCCGTGTTTGAAAAAAGGAGTCGTGAAACTATAAGATAAAAATGAATACAGAAAAAATAAGTGGGAGATGAAGAGAAAGCAAAGGGAGTCACTCAGTACAAATCACTGTCAAGTTTTATTTAATATCTGATGATATTTCAGAATGAAATTTGATTAACTAGTGTAACAGTTAATATCAAAATAAATTTGATAATAATGTCACATTCTTGTCGAGTGAATACCATTGAGACGACTGATGATAATCATATTTTCAGTTTTCAAGTATATGCACACATTATTTAGCTGCATAAAACTAACATCCCAAAACTGTCAAAATTTAAAATTGAGAAAAATGTAGCGATAAAAATGTTGGCAGATTATAAAAACATGTCAATAAAAAGTTTGAGCATTGTGGAATAGATCAAATAAAATATAGTTATATTTCAGTGGTAATATTTCGAGCAAAATACTGCCCGTGTTCACTCAACTCATCCACTCAAGGTAAAATGAGGGTTAATACAAGGTCTTACAGACAGAATACGTAGACTTAGAACAACATCGGAGGACCAGCGTAAAGAAATAAACGTCCTATTCAAAATGTTACTTGACAACAACTACCCAAAAGAATTTATCAGAGATAATATAAAAAAGAGGGTAAAACTGGAGAATTATAAGAAAAAGGAAGGCAAAACTCAGTCAAAATACCACAGAAAAATGTTACATCAGAGGCAATTCGAAGAAACCGCAACAATGTTGGGATTCGCGCCACGTTTAAACCGACGAATCTAATTAAAAATAGGATAAATCAACTGAAAGATCCCATAAAAATGATGGACAAAAGCAATGTGATTTACAAAATATCTTGAGCTGAGTGTCAGACTAAATATGTGGGTCAAACGTCAAGATCACTCAGAATAGGAGTGAATGAACATAAATGCCTAACTAAAAGTCAACCAACAGGAACACAAGCTTACAAGAATTTAGAAAAAATCCAACTATAGCTGCACATGCATGGGACAAATACCACAATATCGATTGGAACAATGTTTGTATTCTGAAAACTAATATGAACAAATGGAAAGAAAGACTAATAACAGAATCTGTATTCATTAAGGTCACACCGGATACATGTAACAAGGGTGACTCAGCACAACTGTCATCAACCTGGAATATAATTGTGGATACACAAAAATGAATGGATAAAAAAAGAACTATATGTGTAAATATATTTGAGTACAAATCATAAATGTGTGAATTGAAAACAAAACAATTCCAACAGTTAGTGTGACTACGGGCAGAAATTTTGCTCGAAATATTACCAAAAATAAAAACTTATCATTGTGTGAACTGCTGAAATATAATCATACATTATCAAAGCATGCCTCTTGAAGCGTTTAGGTGCTATGTTTACAGTGTTAGTTGCAAACATTACTCAATGGTCGAAAAGCCTCATTTCTAATTAAAATTTAGCACATTTTTTATTCCTTTTTGGTAAATCTTTTGTCATGGCATCGACAATTTTGGCATATTTATGCTAGTATAAATGATACTAAAATAACTCTGTAGTCGTCTCCGTCACAGATATCATTCTTCTGAAATATAGATAGCGTAGTTTTAATCACTTGGAATGTTAGTGACTGTTAAAATAAAATAAAATGTACTTTTTCACACTGTTTTACTGACTTTTCTTATCTTGTGAAAACATCAGCGTTATGCGGAATATTTGAGGATTCAACCAATATATTTCCAGATATTACTTTAGTGTTTTTGACTGTAGTCTCACTTAGTTGACAACAACATGAATTTAGTGGGAATTTATTGGTTTAGATAACTCTCTTTGAACAGGAGATTCATGCTTATCTCTTACAAATGCATCAACTTCACAGAGAACTGAGAAAATGAAACCAATCCTTATACTCAAATTTTAAAAAAATCTGAGTTTATTTTAACTCTGAGAGGAGATTTCGCAGTATTAAAAAGTGCAGAAAGGAACAATAACGATAGTGGAAAAGTATCAGAATACCTTAAAACTGTTTTATTTATTGATAATGTTGAGAATACTGACATTAATAATAGTGATAATAAGAAGATGGAGAATAAGAGCAACAGCCACTGTTCGGTTCAAGTGAGGGCGTTATAAAAAGTCATTAACCCAAATTAGGGAGCTTCATTACTTGAGACCAAATACCCTGGAATTTTGTCACAGTAAAGATAACTTATGATGGTGTAGACTAGTGATTTGGCTGATATGAAAGAGTAATTGGACACCAGTGCATCATACATTAGTGCTTGCTAGAGAGGTCGAAGTAATCTCAAAACGAGGCGGCCATTACCCTTTCTTGGGTGCAAGCTCATCAGCGATGTATCCAAATTTAACTCAGCCCAGAGAGCCGGATCAGTTCGAACCACGCGAACTGTGACTAGCTACTTGAGCAAGTTGGTAATACATGGAGTTTAATTCGCACTTAGCACAACTAGTTGATGGGAAAGGTGTTCAAATGCTCATTTATATAAATTAATCAGTAAAATGTATCCTAATGCATTGAAGCTTGCTTTCTTGACTGACATTAACGGTACCAAGCGGATCACATTTTGTGATCCGAACCATTTTCGTTTCCATTAGAAACTGTGCTGAATTTTCACCTCAAACTGTGTAATTCGCACACTGTGAATTAAAAACAACCTAATTTACTGAGGGGCAGGTACATCCGTGTGATAAATTTTACATAGAGACAAGTGTTCATATAAAATTCTGCTTCTAACTGAACACAGAATCTCCGAAAAAAGCAGTAACAAAATTAGGGATTCAATTCAAGTCAATAAATGCAAAACAGCCTGTCAACAGCACAGAATATAAAGTGTTATTGACAGGTTTATTCTTTGTACATTGCCTGAACCACTGGTGGAAATCTGATGTGAAGATGAAAGTTAATACGGTTATTTCTATCATGAAGAAAAGAGGTAATATTTAGTTTAATATGCACTACTATTTCCATGTTTCGATAATTTAAGATTGTGTGAATACATTTCTGCACATAATTTTTTCATCCAATTCCCTTTATCTTATTTAAGGGATTTATTACTAACAATATTGGGTTTACATTTGAAGGCGATCGTTTCCATCAGGCTGAGGGTATTGCTATAGGAACTCTATTGGGGCCTCTTTTAGCAGATATCTGTATGTCTTACATTGAGAATTTATCGGATGATTTAATCGAAAATGTGCCACTTTATAGGTGTGTAGATAACATTTTAATCATAAGTGATAGGCCTTGTTCTGCCACCAAAATTTTAAATCAAATGAATGAAGTTCAGAATAGCATGTCTCTTACATCTGTAGAAGAGGAAGATAATTGTTTATCTCTCCTAGATACATTGCTTAGTCGACAGCCTGATGGATCAGTAAAAATATCTATTTATAAAAACCTACCTGGATAGGATGGTATTTTGACTGTCAGAGTTTCTGCCCTGTTCGGTACAAAAGAGCCTTAGTAAAGTGCCTTTTCCGTAGAATCCAACAAATATGCACTGAAGACACCCTTGATGAGGAAGAAACAAGGTTGACACAAATTCTGGTTGGCCATAATTATCCAGACACGTTCATTAAGTGACATAAGGTAGTCAGAACACCACGACCCACTCTCTAACTCGCGACTTAGAACGACGTGTACATCAAGTTACCCTATATGGGTGGTCATAGAAGCTTGACCACTAGACGAAGGTTAAACGCTAAGGTTAAAAAGACTTTTATGCAACCAAGATCATAATAATTGAGAATGTAAACTGATTTATTCATCTAAGCTCTTATAACATGCGAAAAATGATGTCACATCTCACTGTATTTACCAATTTGAATGTACGTGTGAACACACATACATAGGGAGGACTAATCGACCCCTGGAAATAAGGGCTTCAGAGCATATTCCTAAATGGCCTCAGAAGCAAATAGAATCTTCGGAACCCATTAATGGTGAGAACAGGAGATCTAGTTCCTCTATTGCCAAACTTATTGTGGATGTTTACACGTCTTTTAAACCAATCCATAAAACGTGTTTGGGGCGTATCCCAAAGGTTTTGGAAGCCCAAGCAGTTAGAAAGTTTAAACCACCTTTATGCATTCAGAGCAACAATTCATCACATTAAACCTTCCTTGGTAAACTTTGTTTTGATTCCATAGCAGATGTACTATTACCTCTCTTTTTTGGTTTAGTGGTCTAAATTGTTATTTTGACTTTTGATATGTCTGTTCACGTTGACGTAGGTCTATTTTCTCACCTCTTAACTCTTTATTAATTTCATATATATTCCTATGACAAGTCCGTCTGTGACCAGATTGTTGAAATTTGTTCCTCAAATACATTACACGATTCAGACAAATTACGTCTTCCTATTGCTTCGTCTAAATTTACGATTTCATCAGTATGACGATCGCTTAGTGTACATTATTCTTTCTTGATAATAATTTATATTCTAGTCAATGTTTTCTAGAAAGTATGGAACTTACAAAGTTTCCGTATCTATGGAATCATTTTGTGGAATGTTCTTTATTAAGTACTTACCTTGGTAGCTCTATGATCTGAAAGTTGAACTTTAAAAAAGGTACTGTTTTTCCGTTAAAGCTGACTTCATTTAGTGACGAAATCGGGACCACGTATGATAAATCCAGTTTAGTTTGCTGTAAAGTTTAATTTAAGCTACCATCCTGAAATAAATGTGATTCTGGATCATCTAGGGTTTCGAAATTATTTTTGCCTCCAAATTGAGGCATTGATTAAATAGTAAAAATAAAATACTTTAGATGAACTCGTTCAACACAATCTCATTATTTCTACAGATTATGCGAAGTCACAAGTGATTCCAAAGAATACCGGGGTTTTTTCGTTTTCTTTAATGCAAAACATATAAGCACTTAAATTTTATTCACTTATTTTCTCGTTTAAAGAGCTGTTAGTATTTTTTGGGTAAAAACAATTTAGCCACTTCCTACTTTCATTTAAAGTGTTTATACTGGTGACCAGAATAAATGTTGGTTTTTAATCTGAAAGTTACTGCACATAATACGCTTTATTAAATTTAGTACAGGGGTAGGAAATAATTGTTTCAGTAGTATTTATTTTACTTTGACAAAAACAAAAGTGACGAGATTTAATCTAGGTTAACGAATTCAACACTACCTTCATAACTGTTTTAATGTTATTCAATCCTAGCTTCATTCATACTAATATTCATAATAATCCTGCAATTAGAGTGAACAGTGAAAATGAAACTAATTTCACCCTGGGCTGATTTTTGTTTTGTTCAATTCAGTTATGTAGCTCTCTGTTGAATTGTTTTACCTTTTGTATTTTGATAAAAATTTAACAACTCTAGTGTTACTCGTAGGCGTCATCATATTGATAAATCAGTGAGAAAATCGAAAGCCCGCTCTTTTCATGCAGAAGAGTCAACAAATCATCTGTCATTATCATCAACATTTTTATTACCGTTAGAGGAAATTGATACAGGACAATATCATAGTGAGAAAAAGAGTGACATATACAATCGAATTCATCCGAGTGGGAGTGATTCAAGAAGCAGGTTAGAACGTAGCCTACTAAATGGGGGACATAATCACAGATCATCATCAGCCCAACGATATTATACGGTGAGTGGATTTATACAAAGATAAACAATTTCACTAAATTATACTTTATCTTTTCATTATATCAATCACAGTAAAAGTGGGTGAATAAGTATACCGTTATTGTTTTACTCTGTCATTTGTGTGATTACATCTATTCTTATTCTTCATAAAGTGTAATTTATATATCTAAATACATATTTGTAATTTTATCTATGAAATGTTAGTGAAATCAGTGGGCAATGAGCCTGTAAATGAATAACTGATTGTATGATCTTGTTATTTGTAGGATTTCAGCTACACTAAAAAAAGCACCTGGATCTGATGAACAGAATAAATCAGTGTACACTTTTAAGGACAACCTGATACAAATATTTCATCACTTCCGACTGTTCAAAATGTCAATTGCTAGTTATTATTCAGTGTTTAGTCTTTGAAGTACTCTTATAAATATGTCGCTCAGATGGATGCCCTTGCTTAAGTTGTTGTATTCTCTCAGATGTATGGTTGAATTGAAAAACTGTGCCTATCGTTCGGAGCAACATCTCTAGTACTAACTTCAATGTGAGTTTTAGGAATTCTCCGTAAATAAAATAAACGCCTCTCCAGATACCATTAATGTCGACTGGTTATCTTCGAAGTTTTTCTTAGCCTTGTGTTTAGTTTTATTGGTATTGAACATTTTGATGACTAGGTATTTGACTCTTTCGTTACATAACTTGATCTTTATCGGTAGATAAATTAAATTTATGTCGATATGTCTGTTGAGCACAGACTGATCAGAGTACGATGCTTCCAGATAATCTACAGGATTCTTCGTGTTACCTCTGTTTTGTGTTTTCCGAGTCAATCTACTGTCCATAGTTGCCGACAAAATTTGATATGAGGCAATACATCCCATTTTTTGACTGACAGTTTGTGCTGCTGGACACGAAGTCAAAGGAGATGAGCAATTTGATCCACAAAGTGTTGTCGCAGTGAATACTGTAGATGATTTTATCTAGTGTCATTTTTTTTCCTTCACGTTCCCCAGTGGAACATAGGGCTCCAAGCCAGAGGCTTGAAGTTTCCGTAGCAGTGTTTTATTTTTACAGGATGGGGTTACCAGCCTCATGCCCAACCTTTCCTCTTTACCAGCTTTTTATTGCTGGCTTAACGAGGTAAAGGAGTGCGTCGGCCGGGTATCGAACCCCGGACCATGTGCATGGTCTGCGAGCGTCCTAACCGCTATTCCACCGAAGCACTTATCTAGTGTCACCGATGAGTAATTTTGTCAGTATGAATGAAGTATAAACAAAGCTTCTGTGTTGGATTGTGAGCAATATTTATTCTGCAAGGTCTAGGTATCCTAGCTGTGATTAGAGAAATATTCTTCTCATATGGTAGTATGGATTTTCTTGTAGTTTCCCGTGTTAATTTTGTGCTGGCTGTTTGATCTCAGAGTAGGCGTTTTCCGAAGAAAATGCGTGCGTACTCATTATTCTAAAAGAAAGTCAGAAACTATTTGTCTTCCGCTGTTCTCAGGACAGACATGATGTAGTATATACAGTGTTTCTTTGGTGTGTTCTTGGATCTTTCCTGTTTTAAATAGAGCATTCAGTCTCTATTGTTTGGCTTTCTACATACTTGCATTACTAAATTTTTTGTACTTGTTATCCAAGACATCTAAAAGTGTTATTTTGTTGTGTAATTCCTTTTCACTTGTGAATTTAATGTCATCAGACACGCTATTGACATATCTGTCGTCCGCGTAACAAATCCATATATTTGGCGGTATTATTGTTGAAACTACTGGTCACAAGGAGTTATATATGTTATAAAACAATTCGACCAACGAAAGGGTTAGTGGCCAGAGAAGAACAAATTATTCATTTAGAGAATAAGAAGACATTTTATACCATGTGAAGCCAAGTTTGTAATTAGCATGGTACTTTATTTTCTTACTACCTTTGATTTCAGCATTTTTCTGGTGGATTTGCTAATTAATGAGTAGTTTGTTTTTTCCTACAACTCAGTCAAGATCACTCCAACGAATACTTTCTAATTATGATCTCTTTTGTAGAACAGAAATGAAAATCTGGTGAATAATGATTTGAATTCCACACTTATTCGCTGTCCTTCATCTTCATTAGAGAGTGTAATATTGAAACAAGACTGTGGGAGTCGATCATCTTACACAAACAAATATTATTCCGTAAATTATCCTTCAAAAGTAGTAAAACCAACTAGCAATCATAGTTCACAAGGCATTTCCACGAAGAATTACTTTCCATCACTTGGATTTAAGATTCTCAAACCGCCAAGATGCATTCGTGGTAGTGGAGAGCCACATCGTGTTACAATCGGCACACTAGAATTTAAACCAAAGTTACAATACGTTACAATACCAAAACAAACACCAAAAGCATTTTTGCGTGCTACAATGCATAATATATCAGATTTTGCACTACTTGAAGGTCAAGCAAGTGTATATATTGATAGTAATTTTATTGGAAAGGTGAGAAAAAGGTTATTAAAAATTATCTGCACAGGTTTCTTTTTGTCAAATTCATTAGTTAGTCACTTGTTTCTAAATAAAACTATAATCTTATTCGGTGTATAAAAAGTATTTGATGGTGAAATTATTCAGACTGGAGAAGGACTCATACAACAAAATATTAGGAGTCAGATAACACTGGAAATGTACTGCTGAGATTTTGAAATGTAAACTGTCCCATTAACATTCAGTGATTCTATAGTAATTTTTCGTTGAAATATACAGTTTCCAACCTTAAGTAGTAATCATTTCGATACTAAAAGCACCATCAAGAATAAAAAAGACTGTTTAATAATATTTATAGCTAACACACTCGATGGTCCATACCAGTCAGAACTGTTTTGTAGTCAGACTGAAGAGTCCAAACACCAGCAGGTAGTTTAGCTTGTTTTTGGTCAAGCTGATCAGTGATTAATACTGAAATAATACATCAGAAACAAAAGCCATCCAGCAATGTTTCTGACTCTAAAACAGAGCGCTAATTACACCTTAACATGTTTATGAAGGACCGATGATATCGTTGAATAAGTGGAGACTACTCAAAATTGTTTCTTGCGAAATAAACTGTCATCCAAAACTGTTTACTATTATTTTATTCATCTGACATGGGAGGTGACCTTTTAAGTTACCAGACCTTCATAAGTTGAGATTACTGATTAGTGATGTACAGACTAGAAGGAAGACAATGGGGTAACAGTTGTAGATTAACGTTTCACTGATATGTCTGGAAAATAGAATATTATTACTGTTTATAATACAGATTTTTGTAGAACTGTGTTACCCGTCTATTTGCTTATTTTTACCATAAATTTTTTCTGCATAGACAAAACTTTCTGCTACAGCTGTACAAGAAGAATTCACCTGTGAGTTAGGATATGATCCTGGTATACGTGTCACATATATGCCGAGGCACAAATATAAAAAGACTGGTTCCTTTCTTGGAAGCAAAACAATGTCAATCATTTTTAAACAGGTAATATCAGTAGAAAATAGTTATCCAAGAAGTATGAAGCTGCTAGTTATTGACCAGTTGCCAGTCAGTACAGAAGAAAAACTAAAAGTAAGTGGTCCTATTAAATTGACACTGTTGTGATATATAATATGCATTAAGAATACGGACAAGAAGGACTACTCGGTGTACTCATTAGCTAGTTAACACACTCATCTACTAGGAGATGAATACTGTTTAATCAAACAGGTTATACAGTATTGTCTATTTATTAATACGTTATCCCAGTGGGCGAGTGGAAAATGCATAATATACTTTCTATAATCCGTACATATCACTTGTAAGTTGTACTGCTGCATTCTAGGATCTGTTTGCTCAACAGACAATCCCCTGACCAAAACGTTAAAACAAATCAAACTGCAAGGCCAATGGTTAATGTTATGAAGCAATGATACTGGGTTAGGGGGTCGTCTGACTTGACTAGAATGCTCCCCTAGAACACGAGACTATGAGCAGCTGGTCACTTGAAATTATATCAGACTGAGAAAGACATAGAAGTGAGACTGGGAAAAACGACTGTCTTTAAAACAACAACAAACTTTAATTAGAGAGAATCCATGGTATATACGTGCAAAACCTCATTAGTTTAAGCCATAAATGGACGAATCAAAACTTCCCAGTAAGGTTAACATGTTGATGCACGCATAAATCACGACTTCACTGCTAACAATGAAATTTGTTCGTCCTAACAGTTCAAAACTTTGATATAATAATTAATTTTGTCGAGTGTGGGTTTGTAGCGATTTTAACTAATAAATCTACCTAATAATTTGTAAATAAATAACTAGTAACATTATCATTATATAAGTTGGGGGTTTAATGGCAGAACAGTGGCCAACCCCGTAATTTGTCTGAGGTTCGATTCACGGCCGGCATGTTCCCTTATCTTGCTTAGCCGGTAGTAAGCCTTGCAAAGAGAGAAGGTTGGGCGTAAGGCTAGCGATTCCATCCGGTAAAAAACACCACTGCTACTGAAAATTCAAAAGCTCCAGATTGAATTCCTAAGTCCCACTGGGAACGCAAAAGAACAAAATAAAAAAAATATTATTATTATTATTACTAACTTCAACTTTTGAGGTTATCTGTTAGCTTTAAGAAACAAATTTTCGCAACATATACATACTAAAAACTCCACTTTACATAAAAAGTTTTGCTTGGAATAAAGCGTTTACTACTGTTATTAAATTCCTTCATATTTAATATCAGGAGCTATTTCTATACAGTGAAACTTTATGCTGATGGTCAGTAATGAGATATTTGTTAATATAAAGATAATAATCTTCGTCAGAGTTTACACTAATGCCGTTAGCAAGAGGTTTAATTTTTTGTGACAGGTAAAATTTCCTTTACGAAGGGAGCTTGTAGATCATTAGGCCACTGGGGCCCCACTCAATGATCTATGAATTCCAACTTCCGCCAATTCTTGATATAGTTGGCGCAACCACCAGCCTTTGTCACGGGAGAATAACTGTCCTCTTTCGAGACATGGTGGGTCCACTGGCTTAGTGGTCAACAAGCTCACCAAGAAACCGGAAGGTTTCTGAGTTTGAAAACAGTGGGTACGTACTGTGAAGAGTCCCAAAAACCTGGACGGAACAGGCACTCAGTACTCCCAGGTTTTCCAGTGGTCCTCTAGCTCATCTCAACTCGTGATCAGTCTTGTAACTAATCGAATCCATGCTAACCGAATTTTGACAAAGGCAAAATTAATGGTTTCTAGTTAGACTACGGATTAACCTTAGTTAGAGAACCACTGAAAACCAAGGAGTGTTAGACAGCGGTCCCGTCTTGATTTTAGTCTCCATTAAAAACTAATGGCATCTATAAAGTTAGTGAATTATCAGACAAATGTAGCATTCTAATTTAACAGTGATGAATGATAAACGCTTTCCGCGACAAATGATTAATTTAAAACATCTTACTTACATTTATAGGTGTGCAGACGAATTTCGGTTCATAAAAGTACCGGGAAAAATAAGCAGCTCAGGCTTTTTAACGTTCTTACGGCCTGAATTTTCTCGAGAAAAATTTTAGAAATCTTTCTAATTGTCATGCTTAAAACGACTGTGTAAACCATGGAGGGTTTATGTTAATGAAATGGGAGTAACATCGCATATAAATGCTATGCTGTATTTGTAACTTTTAACGAAAAGTACGGTAATGATCACCTGCTAATGAATGAAAGTAAACTCTACACGGAGGTACTTGTGTAGCTTTACAAAAATAAGCACTCAGTGGTTCTGTAAACCAGACTATCCGTTTTGAGTTGGTTGTGAACTCTTGAGGAAAGTAATCATGTGGGTTATCTGTTTTCGGTTTGAGTTCCTCTGAAGTCAAAGTATAAAAATATTTAAACGATGTCACGAAACAACAATCTATAAAAACGACTGAATCAAAGAGATGAAACTAGCTGATATTCTATGCATTTCTTTTGCATCTAAGCAGATTCTTATAAATTAATTCTTATTTTTCACCTTTTATAAATAAACAAATGGACAAGGTTCAGCTAATTGAACCTTCAATTAAAAATCCCGATAAATACGATCCCAATAAACCCGTGAGAATAAGTAAAACTAAGATGGTAGAATGGGATATTGAACTTGCACCATGTAAGTCATTTGTATTTTTTTATAACTTTTGCTTACGTTTGACGACAATTTAATTACTGGAAGACTAACCAGCCAGTAAGTTGTCACGACTTATAATCGTGGAGTGGATTTTAAGCAAACCTTTAGATTTCAAGATTTGTTACAGATTAACAAATCCTAGAGCTAGACTGTAAGCCACTGGACATCCATCAGTAGAGTGTATCCCAGATATTCTCCACATAAACGAATCAGTGCATGAACAGCGAGCCGTATATTCCAAATAGTAACTACGTTTCTGATAGTTCACCTTTCCAGTTACTATCCTCTTTTATGGAAATAAAGTGTACAGTAACGTGGCTGTACAGTTATAGAAAATGTACTTTTCAAAAAGAGTGGCATTGCTGAACTACTTTTTTTCTCATTGTTTTAAAACAAGCAATGAAGGTTAATAAAGCAGGATTTAATGAATTCATCAAATTTCGGTAGAACTCGTCAGCTGAATACTCTACATACACGGATATATACTTTTGAAATTACATTGGGAGATATAGGACTGATAAGTAAATAAACTGCATTGAATTAGTCATGCAGAAAGACAGGTGTGAATGTTTTTCCAGGTCATGTTCAAATTCTCATTATTGCTTGGGTGGGGATTATGCATGAATGAAAAAGTGATTAATACAAGTGTGTGGTCTTGAGCATTGATGGAAGTTTATCAGTCATGTTTATAAAAGTGGTGAGCAAATCCAAGTTACACGATGTTTACAGGGCGTTAGGTTTCAATGTATAAAAGAAGTCATATTTAAGCGTAGACGACTGATTTAAATGAGGTCACAGTATTTAAAGTAAACTTTGGGCACAATTCAAATGAAAAATGGGTTTGATCTTGTTCTTTCACTTGATTTGTATGTCTAGTTTAACTGAACTTGGGTTTAAATGCAGTTTGACTGCATAGTTCATTTATTTCACCTAGTTTTATGTTGTAGCAACTATAATTCACATATGACATTGTGTTTTGTATTAGCTGAGTAACACTATGCGACGCATTTATTCAGCATATAATTACTTTTTTCTGCAAGATTAGATGTATTGGAATATACCAAAGGTGTGCACTAAAAGAACATATCAAAATAAAGACTTAGCTCAATGATAACTTAGTCCGCGTGCCAAATTATCCAAAAAATTGTCGTACAAATTGTTCACATCTTCTAGACATTCAGAAGAAATATTAGAATTTTATGCGTACTTCATCAACTTATACAAGGTTCTTATAACGCTTTAACTGACCTGTGGAATTATAACCGAAGTTGTGGAAGCTGTAGGATTCTAACCACCAACATTTTCATAAGAAGATATTCTACGTCCTGTAGATAATGAATTCGCATTTATGTTTTCCTCTCTATTATCTTTTGTTTGATATACATACAAGAGATGTGACAACTTGGACTGGTATTCAATAAACTTAGGTCAAGTCTTTATAACGCCTTTTTTGTCAAACACGGTAACATTACATTCGGTTTTAAACCAGAAACAGAAGCATTTCAGTGATGTCTCCAAGTAGATCCTGCAAGACTTCTGGTCATTCAAAGGGAAGTCATAGAGTGCACTGAATGCTATTTATGTTGGAAATTCTGTTTTATTAATTTTAACAGAACTTATCAGTAAAACACCATGTTACAGGTTTCCTTTTCTGTTGTTCTATACATTTTACAGATGAAACACGTGAACTTGTTTTAAAGTATCTTGTTGAACATCCAGCCATTAAAGATATCGATATTTCGACACTGGGAATACGATAACTATGATAATAAAATATAAATTCAAAAAGATTGAGTCAGAAAAGGAGACAAAAAGTATTTCATTTCTTCTTCTTCTTCTTATAGTTCCACCTTTTTTCATATTAAATAACAGTTAAACTGCACTTTCTATGCTATGAAATCACCATTCTACTGATAACATTACTACTACTGATAATTCTCACTCATCATACTTTGGTTTCCTCACGTATATATCATTTGAAACTATACAATGTAGTCTGTAAAAACAGATCCCATTTTTAAGAATAAATTCGTACTTTCGACTAGCCACTTTTTTCAAGTCTATTTTCGTTCCTTTCTTTGAAAATGCTAGATAGTGGAAAGAGTTTATTTCGAATTGATGCATTTAGCCAAGCGAATAATACAGCTGAGTGAAGAGAAAGGTAAGACAATGATTATTGCTGGAAGAACTGGTGCTCCCACTTGACTATCTATTGCTGATTGCTTCTGGAAGCTTAAACCCTCAAAAACCAATTGTCTTAGTTTCCTGTGATGCGCCATATTACGAAGTGATAGCATTACAACTACTTAGATTGAGTGCCTCAACAATAGGCGAGCGTTTTTCAAACTTACAACAAGGTATTCACATGAAAAGTATTGCGAGATAATATCATGTTATTACCCCCCCCCCCCACAACCCCTCACAATCACTTAACAATTAGCATTGCTCACAATAATTGATTATATGAGAAGAAACTAAATGTCGTCAATTAGTCACACTTTAGTAGGTCACGTAGTCCAGAATACGCAATAGTCGAAATCTGTGAACAGAATTCAGGATTTGTGTACCGAGTCATAGGCGCTTCTTTCAAATTCACTAATCTAAAATTAGAGTTATGCCGTGATAACCAACGCGTTTGACTTTGTTAGGAAATATTGGTACACGTACCGCAAAGGGATTTCCATTTGCTTTAGGCCGAATTGGAGCTGGAATACTATCAGTTCCACTTATAAATGTTTACACAAACATATTGTCGAATACTTATTATTGTTAAGGCTTAGCGATACGGCTATCAAGCTAAGTCTCACTATAATACAGTAATTGAGGATAAACTATCACCGCAGTACCATATCTTAACATTAAAAGAATATGTTATTAAGAAGTCCAAGAAGGCAGTAAGAACAGAGAAAATCCCCCCCCCCTGAAAAAGGATCCTGAGACTACAGGGGATATGCTCACTCCACCACTGCAAACATTTTCTAAGGAACAAGAGCTATTCAAGGAAAACTAACAAAGAAGGGAGACTATAATGAAAGCATACATATTGAATGCAATCAAGCTACTGAAGCCAACAGGGAAGGCAGCAAGACCAGACAGAATTCCCCTCGAATCACTGAAAACGGACATAGAAACTGCACCAAATGTGCTGACGCCATTATTGAAAGGAGTACGTTCGAAAGGAAATGTGCCCACTGATTGGAAGAAAGGCTACCTTGTAAAACTAACAAAGAATGGAGACTTAAGCCTCACTCTGCAAGAACTGACGTGCAATAATGCTCTTGCCCACGCTAAGTCAAATACTAAGTCACCTTATCCTGGAGAGAATAAAAGACGCACACCAGAACAAGCTGGATTCCGGTAAACCACATCGTGTGCTCATCAAAATGCAACTCTACGCATCATCATCGAATAAAACACAGAATGACAGTCAAACCTTTACCTCAATTCCACTGACTTTCAAAAGTCTTCGACAGCGTTGATCGCAAAGTAATTCAGAAACCAATTCAACACTATGGCGTGCAGTGCACCAAATCTTCATCAATCTCATTCTACAGATATATAACAATGCCACATGTCAAGTGATCCACAACGGAAAACTCAAAGAGGCATTTGAAGTGATGAATACAGGAGCTGTAACAACAGAAGACAAGGGCCAGGCAACAGATCGTTTATTACGAAAAATCAACACGTATTTATAGATTTTTATGTACATTATTGTAGGTCAACGTTAGTAGAAAATACAGTCTGTTGATTGGTTGTTTCTCACTCAAAGTTAACCTTGCATCTCTTGTGGCTGTGTCAGTTCATCTATATGTTAACTGTATCCGCCTGTCCACCTTGACCTTTGACCTCAATTACTGTCAACCAATTTGGCTAGCAACCATCTCTCACCACAACATGACTAATATTTGATACATAAACATTGACCTCAATTACTGTCCACCACTTGGCTAGTAGACAGCTCTCACCACAGAGCAACACAAGACTGTCTGCCTATTATCACCATGATATTCTCAGTTTTTTTTTTGGGGGGGGGGGACTGGATTATGCGTCAGACTGTAGGTAGCAAGAAGATAGGAATACGCCGCACTGACCGATAAGAAGACTTTACAAGATCTAGACTTAGCGGATGATTTGTCTAATGTCATACAAACTCGAAGACCTACTGGAGAAAACTAACAAACTGGCAAAAGAGGCAGCCAAGACAGGACTCCAGGTGAACATAAAGAAGACCGAGGGGATGAAGATAACCAACCATCCAACCACCACCACCAACAACAACAACCAGCACCAGTCACCATCAACGGGAGAAATTTGAAAGAGTTCACTCCCTTCACTTATCCAGGAAGCATCGTTTCAACTACAGGCAATCAGAACGGATGGACATGTCAAAGCCAGCATGAGTCAGAAAGGTAAGAAACACCTTCATCAATTTAAAATTAGTTTGCAAATCTTCTGCACTCTGCAGCATGAACAACAAGAGTCGAATTTTCAACACTTCTATATGGGTCTGAGACTTTGTGGGCACATCACGAAAAGCATTTCCAACAGCCAGGTGCAAAGTTTTATCAACAACTGCCTTCGCTACATACTGACTTATGATTTCCAATGAAACTATATTGTTCTTCGTTATTACTATTCCTTTGTCTCACACCTCTGTTTACTGTCCCTTTTATGCATTTCTTATACTTTCTTCTCTTGTTTTGTGTGCTACATGGAGTGTGGCGACTTGGACTGCCGCACATCCGTTGCACGTTTCTCGACTTCACTTCTGCTTTCGACTATGTACTAAAATGTCTCTTGCTAAATAAGCTCTCTATGACAAAAATTGAGTCCTGAGTCACTAACTGGCTGCATTCCTACTTCTCTAACAGAAAGCAGTACACCGTATACAAGGGTAAATCCTGCTCTGCTGAGCTCACTGAAGCTGGTGTCCCCCAAGGTGCTGTACTCTCCTCACTTCTCTTTTCTTTCTCTCTACATGACTTACCATCTTCAAATTACATTAATTTTGTCAAATATGCTGACGACCTGACTGTATCTTTGCCTGTCAAATGTCAAAGTGACTGCTCTAAACTAAATGGCTTTCAGTCAGAAATCAGCCAGTGGTCCAAGGAAAACGGTCTTACCTTAAACCCCTCCAAATGTCAAACAGTCAACTTCACCTTTAGGCATAAATCTGACCTAAACAAACTGGTTGGCTCCCACGAGATGTGCAACATTGATGGCACTGAAATAGAAACCAAGTCGGAAATTAAATACCTAGGCGTCATTCTATCTGCTGATCTTTCCTGGTCGTCTCATATCTTGGCGATTTCTAAGAAAATATTCCGTCTTAATTTCTACATCAAGAAGTTAGAATATTCTGGTATAACCCAACCCTTACTCCTACAATTCGTTAACTCTCGCATTCTGCCTATTATTCTCTATTGTTCCCCCTTAGTTTTTCCCGGGCTACTGAAGTAAGACTATAACATATTACGCAGGATGTTAAAGGTTGTCAGCAACGTGCCACTTAACCAGCTTGTTAATATTCTGTTTGACAGGCACATGGACTCATGTGAAAAGTTGACTAAATCCATTCTGTCTGACTCACACCACCCTCTTCATTCACAACTCTCCCCTTGTATCTCATGAGGCAGAACCAGAAGCCTATACAGAAAACTATATGCTCGCACCAGCAAGTACAAAAACTCAACCATACCCTACTTAGCTCGTGTTCTGTGTGATAAAGAAAGCATTAGGCGTGATACCTATAACTTATTAAATAGTCAGTAGAACAACTGGATCTCGTCTTCCCAACTCATATCATTTATAGGTACAACATTTTCTTTCTTTCTTTTCCTTTTCTCTCTCTCTCTTTTTCCGTTATGTGCTGCTTTGTTTCTTTCTCTCGCTTACGCCAGTAAATATGACAGCTCCTACATTTCTAACACCTTCAAACACTGTTCAGCTTTGGCTTTGCTACCGACATCCCAATATGTTGTTGTCATAATGAACTGAGATTACCTTAATCTATGTAGAATTTTATTTATTGATAATGTACTAACTGGATGCAATAATGTAGTAAAAAAATGCTGAGAATTCCATTCTGTATCACAAGTACTGTTTTGGAATAAAGCAAATTATTATTATTACAAATATGCACAGAAAGCCAGCCAAGGCATCATACTCTAATGGCATGCAAAAGTGAAAATAAGAGCAAAAGGCAACTCCTGAGTACAGGACAATCGGCCAGTATGTTTTGGTACTGAACTTCATAGGAAAATAACCAACAATCTGAGGAGATACACAACGTCAAGAAATAAATATTCTGGAGAATTACTAGTTTAAGAGCGTTTGTTATTTCATGAAAAACGGTTAATCCGGAGAGAAAATTCCTCAATGAACTAAAATGTATATAGTTAAAAGACAAACCTGGAAATCTCTACTTTCTAGAATTACTTCGAAATAGTAGGAATGACAGGTCAACGCCGAATTTTGAACAGATGTAGACTAGTTCAAGCTAATATACTTCAAAAATCCCAGAAATCGAGAAACAGAATGACGCCAATATACAAAAACATGAGTATGGTGTTAAGAACTATTCAGTGGAGATCAGCGAGAACTTTCGAAATCTTCTGTTGAGTGAAAGATGAGGCATCTCCAACCGCTTTGAGAGATTTTAAGTCGTGTTGCAAAGATTTTACAACCAATTATCCATAGCATGCCGAAGCCAGCAGCCACGCAGTCTTCATCCGTTTACTTGGCTGAGACTAAC